CCAGTGTTTGGATAAACAAGAGCGGTGTGATTGCTCCTGGGAGGGGGATAAACTAGCCGGTTATCGCTGCAAAAACGGGCCTGTCGATCCACCCTCCCCCCTGAGGCCTAGATGAGCGCTGGCGCCAACGCGGGGAACGCAAACTCACAGCACCTACACGCATGCCTGCACGCAAGCACGCCAGCCGCTTTTGCTCTGTGTGTTTGTGTGTCAATTAAAACAGTTTAAACAGGCAAAAACGCATACAGGCAACAATTGCTGCTGATAGGCAACACACAAACATACAAGACCGCATAGTTTTCGGGTTGTATGTAGTCTGGCACAGCCGGCAGCAGCAAAAACCCCTTTCTCGGCGCGCAAACTAGACGTGTGGGCGGTGGCACTGCGGTGACAGCCCACCGCCCCTGCCCCCCTTCCAGTCTTCTGCAGCACACGATGAAGGTTAGATGGGAGAGTCGGTTAGACGGGAAGATGAGGGGATGGTGTAAACCAACAAGGGGAAAATGGGAAAAGCGGACAGAAAAGACACCTTGTTAAGCAAACCTTGTAGCATTTTTCGCAAGCCAATTTTACACAGAAAAGGCGAAGATACCGGGGGACAAAAGTTGCTCAAAATTTTCGACAAAAAACTGTCAACTAGGACAGTCGGAGGCTGATCCTCTGCTACTCACTACTGGGAGAAAGAGAGGCAGAGAGAGGTAGAGACAGCGGGGACAGACACAAATGAGACTCCTACTCTGACGTCGCAAAGATTGCGTCTACTCCGCGCGATGACCCTGAAAAACAGTCTTCGGACTAGGCTGGCTGAAAATTTGTCGTCGAACATGTACAAGCGTCGCAAACCAGACAAACGTCACTTCTCAGGCGCCCCTTTTTTAACGACTCAAGCGAACACACAGGCGACAAATAACGGAGTATCAGGATATATTCTAAATACATTCATTCAAAAGACAAGACGACCCGGAGGAAGCAGGAAACAACAAACTAAGCGGAGGCTGGGTGACATACCAGATAAAATTTTGCCCTGTGGCAGCACAGTTGCGACTGTGGTGGACTGAGTTTTTCCGTTCGCGATGTTGGTCTCCTCGCCGGCTGAATTTGCCGCAGAATCCAACGACGCAGGGGCAGATGGCGACACGTAGGCCTTCATAGCGTCTGCCAGGACGGTGCGAAGAACTCGTTCTGATTCCGCTGATGACTGCT